TCTAGCCGTAAAATATTTATTTCCCGACATGTCATTTTTGATGAACCTAAGCTTCTATTTTCTAATCTAAATGTTCCTACAACGGTTGGCTATAATTTTTTGGATGATGACATGTCCTTCCTTCCATCCTATTCTTATAGTGCTTCACCCTCTAACCGTCAAAATCATACTCCACCCTTAACTATACCAGTTCAAACAAACATTTACTAGCCATCACCATCTTCTTTTAATTCGCCTCCGTCACCCTCCCACAATCAAACCTCACCAACAATAGCATCAACCCCATCCATAACATCACCTTTAAACCCATCATTACCAACTATCGTCTCATCCCCATCCACTACATCAGTTCCGACTCCTCCACCTTCACAACAAAAACTACCTTTCTCCCCTCAAATGACAACCAGAACCTAACACGGTATTGTCAAACCTTGCAAACTCTTCAATCTCCATACCTCAACCTCAACCTCCATATCCCCTCTACCTACAAATCTCATTGATGCATTAAATGATCAAAATTGGAAAATGGCCATGAAAGACGAATATGATGCTCTTATTAAAAATAAGACGTGGGTCTTAGTTCCTCGTCCTTCTAATGCTAATGTTATTCGAAGTTTGTGGATTTTCAGGCATAAAAAGAAATCTGATGGATCTTTTGAGAGATACAAAGCTCGCCTTATAGGTAATGGTGCAAATCAACAAACAGGTGTTGATTGTGGTGACACATTCGACCCGGTGGTCAAACCGGCTACCATTCAAACGGTTCTAAGTGTTGCTTTATCTAAATCATGGTGTCTTCATCAATTAGATGTTAAAAATGCTTTCTTGCATGGGAATCTTCATGAAACAGTATACATGCATCAACCTCCTGGATTTCATAATTCTCAATTTTCTGATCATGTCTATTTATTGAAGAAATTTCTATATGGTCTCAAACAAGCACCTCGCGCCTGGTACTAGCGTTTTAATGATTATGTAGCTATAATGGGTTTCTCTCACAGTATTTCGGACCACTCTCTTTTTATATATCATCATAGAAATGACATAGCTTATACTCTTCTGTATGTGGATGACATTATTCTTGTTGCATCATCTGACACTATTAGAGAATCTATTATGGAACAACTGAGTTCTGAATTCTCCATGAAGGATCTGGGACCTCTAAATTATTTTTTGGGTATTTCTGTCACCCAACATCTTGAAGGCCTTTTTCTTTCTCAAAAGAAATATGCAGAAGAAATTATCAAACGAGCCGATATGTCCTCCTGCAAACCATCCTCCACACCAATAGAAACAAAGGCGAAACTTAGTGGTTCATCTGGTAACCCTTACCATGATCCAACCAAATATCGTGGCCTTGCCGGAACATTGCAATACTTGACATTCACTCGACTAGACATCTCATATGCAGTTCAGCAGGTGTGTTTATTTATGCATGATCCAAAAACTCAACACATGTCTGCCTTGAAACGGTTTATTCGATACATTAATGGTACCATAGATTTCGGCCTCCATCTGTACCCTTCATTTGTCGACAAGCTCATTTCTTACACAAACGCAGATTGGGCCGGTTGTCCAGGCACAAGAAGATCTACCTCCGGCTACTGTGTTTATCTCAGTGACAACTTGATCTCATGGTCCGCAAAACGCCAACATACCTTGTCTCGTTCAAGTGCCGAAGTCAAATACAGAGGTGTAGCTAATGTTGTGTCTGAATCATGTTGGTTACACAACTTACTCTTGGAACTATGTTCTCCTGTCACAAAAGCTACTATGGTATATTGTGACAACATCAGTGCAGTTTATCTTTCTGAAAATTCTGTCCAACATCAAAGCACCAAACATATTGAAATGGATATACATTTTGTGCGTGAGAACGTTGCTTGCGGTCAAGTACGCGTTCTTCACATTCCTTCGCGTTTTCAAATTGCTGACATCTTCACAAAGGGACTTCCGTTGCAACTCTTTGATGACTTTCGTGATAGTGTCAACATTCGTTCACCTCCAGTTTCGACTACGGGGTGTATTAGATATGTAAATATAGAAAGATTATTATTAGTTTTGATTGTAAATGATTATTAGAATCATAACCACATAATTATATTGTGTATATAAATGACTAACAGATCAATGAAAAGGACGGCCTAGACTCTCTTACAGATACTCAAAGACCACTTGTCTTGTCGATCCGAAATCCACACTAGAGAATATGTTGTGATACATAGGCAATTGAAGAGTTGTGAAGTTTTAGTATCGTTCACCATCGATTAACAGCAAAGAAAAGATACAGTTCAACAAATTTGAGTTGAATATAAATGAAGGTTTAACGATTATCTAGAGTACATTTTACTTTACAAAATAAAAGGTCCGATCGAGATGGATGCAACGATTGCAAGATTGACCGAAAATATTCTAAAGATGTTAAAACGTTCTCAACCATCTGCTGATGATGAAATGTAATATTATATTTAGGTTAACAATTATATATGTAATATTACATATTTTATATATGTCATAACAATGATTGATGTTAATTTATGTTGATTTTCCCATATTTGTTTTTTGTTTGAAAAATCGAGAAGATTCTGAAAATATGTTTTTGTAACAACTATGGACCTAGCGTTTTTAAATTTGTCCAGTTTCATTTTGGCCTATGTCTAAGATTTGACAAAAATGTGATCATTTTGAATGTATTTGAAAGTGTGATTCTAAATTTTAGAGACATTAATTTTTTTTAAGTGTGAGCAACATTAAAGATGCATTAAGCAGTCCTCTAATCCGGTTCGAGTATGACAGATGAATTTTAAATGAATGTGGGTTGCTTGTGATAAAAACTTCATGAAGAACCCTATCCACCATATTGATATGGTCAAGGTACTACTAGTACCAACAAACAACCTGTAAGCAAAATAATAAATGGCCGGTGCACTATATAGCTTTCTCTTTGAAACATAGCAGTTTGGGTTTCACGCGTACATTTGATACAGAATAAACAAACATTAGCTTGTATATGCTTCTAAGTAGAAAATGGGAAAGAAGCTTCCCATCGATCTTACTGGCATTTATTTTTAATTTCTAAATTACTCCTAACGCGGACTCCATCACATTGTCAATGCCAACCCTATGCGTATATATGTATATAACTGCACTGGCCACCGTTGAATCATCCAATCTACTAAAATTTCTTGTTTGACCTGCTTTGCTCACATATATATCCAACCCTTGCATTGAAAAGCTTCAAAAAATACTTGTTTCCAAATTTCATTAACATTTCAGCAAATACTTTACATATGGGAAACTACATTTCTTGCAGTCTATCAGGAGGAGGAAACAGGCAGTGGAGAAGCATAAAGGTAATATTCCCAAGTGGAGAGATATGTAAGTTTGAAGAAGCCATAAAAGCCGCTGAGCTTATGGTTGAGATGCCGAGTTTCTTTGTGGTAAACACTCGATCACTACATATTGGAAGAAGGTTTTGTGCCCTCCATGCTGATGAAGAACTTGAGCGTGGTAATGTTTATGTCATGATTCCAATGAAGAAGCTTAACTCTGCTGTCACGGCATCGGACATGGGTTCCTTACTAATCACGGCCAAAAGAGTCTCTGCAAAAGTCAACAAGATTCTTCCTACTGCAGAATCTAATTTGGAAATGGTATTATCACAGCCACAGTTGTTGAACTTGGATGATATTGATCAAGACTTGTCTATGCACAGGTTGTCCATATGCAGCAGGTCAAAGAAACCTCTGTTGGAGACCATAGCAGAAGAAAAAGTGTGCTGAAGCTGAATTGTAATTCAAACAGTCTCTATATCTCTTTCTTTCTTCTCATTTGAGCTATCAAGCACACCAAGCCCAGCTTGTGGCTTTCTTGTTCTCTCTGTGACTCCATATTGTTATGAGTTACACAGGGACATAACTTGTTATTTATTATATATGATTTGATTTGATTTGTATGTACTATACTCACCAAAACTAATTCAAAACACAATGTAATATCAGGTTTTTCTTTTATTGATCAAGACTTGTCTATGCACAGGTTGTCCATATGCAGCAGGTCAAAGAAACCTCTGTTGGAGACCATAGCAGAAGAAAAAGTGTGCTGAAGCTGAATTGTAATTCAAACAGTCTCTATATCTCTTTCTTTCTTCTCATTTGAGCTATCAAGCACACCAAGCCCAGCTTGTGGCTTTCTTGTTCTCTCTGTGACTCCATATTGTTATGAGTTACACAGGGACATAACTTGTTATTTATTATATATGATTTGATTTGATTTGTATGTACTATACTCACCAAAACTAATTCAAAACACAATGTAATATCAGGTTTTTCTTTTATTCAATTCTTAGACTAAAATTTTCAATCCATAAGGTTGAGTTTGAATTAAGGGTGAAATGAGATCTGACCATTTGGTAAATGTATTTAAACCTACATCTTAAGTTATATACTATACTTTAAAATAAATTGCACCAAATGATATCATACAAATGATGATACACCATAGAAGAGTTAAAATTGAATGACTTTTTGCATGTCTAACTACTCACGCTTTGGGCTAGGAATCTTTAAAGTTATATTTCTTAATAGCGGTGAAGCAATTACTGAACAACAAAAATCAATGGGAACAGCCAAATTATCTTTCATAGTCATTGATCAGGAGTCCTATCTAAACAAAGATGTTTTATAAGTAACAAAAATACTCCCCCAAAATTTACTCACATGTCTATTGTAATACTTACTATGATTTAATTGTTTATACAGTAAGTTGTAGCTGCTCAAAATTCAAGGGATGATATGAATTTGAAATTTACATTATGTACATTAATAGTAGCAAGTAGTAAAAGAAGTGTGCCATTTTTCTTCCGGAAAAGAATATCACCATCCCTAACTTCACAAAAATTGATTAGTCTGGGATCTAGATTCCTTACCGTCAAAGAATCCATGAAGTCAACAAGTTCGGATCAATCGGCCCAACGCACTATGTTCCCAAGTTCTGACCAATTAAAATTCATTTTGGATTATCATTTCAGCTACCTCACCCATGAGAGTTGTCCCTCTGATTTCTAGTAAGTGCAGAGCCAAGTCATCTTCATTCAAATGTCTTAATCCCTTGCTCACTCTCTTCAACAAGCCCACATCAAGTTCCTCGATCCACAATGGGGCGCAACTCGCCATCAAGCTCATAAACCCAGATACATAGGCATGCCAAGTTGCAGAATCACAGCAAAGATATATTTTTCCATCTAGAGCATTTGCCAGAAATTCTAGATGAATCCCAATAACCTTTGGTCGCCGTTTGGATGCTGTTGATAAAGAGTCGATACCCCAAGCAAATGTCACACTAAATACAGCAAAACATGCCAGTGCGTAACCTCTAAGAATGGCAACCACAACACCAGATTCTCCCACTTCCTGCTCCAACCCTTGAGCTGATAAAAACCATGAAGGTAAAGTTTCTGTTATCAAAGATTGAATCAAACTAGAACCACCAGATATCCAAAGAAAAGAAGCCCCCAGAAGGGCAGCATGTTTGACACGTGCCATAGATGCAGCAAGAGAAACCTGTCCGTATCTCATTCCATACTTAGTCTTCTTTAGCCTGTGTGCATCACGGTTGGGCAACCCACCACATGCTATATCTCTAACTGAAAGCATTAGAAGAGATACAATTTCATCAGTCAAGAACATAGCATCTCTAATAGACCTATAAACTCGCAAGTAGAGAATTCCAGGAGCAACCGGAGAGATCCCTCCTAAGAAGTGAGAACCAAATCCATGACCAAGAAGAGCACCAACACCACCATTGTTGTAAATACAAGCAGAACCAAGCCCAAGAGTAGATGTGAAGCAACTTTTTAGGAGCTGAACTACGGCATCCCTGCTATGGTGGAAGACAGTTCCAGAAGCAGAGAATGCAAAAAAGTCACTCCAACGCTTCACCTTCTGAGCCCACAAAGAACCTACAATGGGCATGCACGGCCAGGGGCAACCAGCAGAAAGGTTGATCAAAGATGGACCAATCAAAACAAGAAAGCGCTCATAAGATTTATCAAGCTTATAGGTTATTGTGAGACTTAGAAAAGCCGCCAAAGGCAAAGGAAGTGTAGCTGGAGCATTTCCATCTGCTTGCAGCAGTTCAAAACATAGTGTCAGCAGATTGGTTTTATAAACCTTATGTAAACAAAATCAGTCCAAAAAAAAAAGTACATGCATTCAGTAAAAAGTATTTGCAAACCTATTGAGAGGCTTGGGACATCAACACCTGTGGCAGCCAGAATTTTTTTGATTTGTTGCTCGACAAGGGATAAATTAGCAGCAGGACTAGGCCAATCAGTTCCATTCATAAAAGCTGGCTTCCATACACCACGTGTTACTTCAGCTGATAAGTAGCTTACAATGGTTGCCAAAGACGCCGGAAGAAAATCAGCAATATCTTTGAGACCTGAGATAAGAAGCAAGCACATAGATGTATTATTAAGCAAACTTAAAAACAAATTATCCATACCCATAGAAACTTGCTTCTGCAACCATACCAGTCATCAATATAACTAAGGTACAAGATAAAATCAAGTTTGAGTTTAATTGGTTCTTCGTTTTTGCATTTTTGCGCTTCTTGGATTTGATGTTTCTGCATTTCTGGCTTTGTTTTCACCCACGTTGTGCATTTCTGGCTTAGTTTTTGCGGTTGTGTTTATGTGCTGCATTGGCTTGAGAAGACCTATGTTATCATGTAAATCTAGCTGTATTATGATGATAATTTGATTTATGAAGTCAGTTCGGTGTTGATATCTATTGTGAGTTTCTTGAAGTATAAAGCTAGCTATTGCTTAATTGAAATGCATTGTAAATCACTCTCTTCTAGGTAGGTGTTTAGATGCTCTGAAAAAATATGGAGTTTTTGTGGGTTTCTTCTCCTATGTAATCGCTTTTGTGATTGAGTATGATTGGATTCATGTATTCCCTTGTAGTGAACTGTGTATACAAGTGTATTTGGTTTAAGTTTTATGCATGTAGTTGGGAATTTAGGCATTTTGCACTTGAGTTTACTATCATTTAATCTGAACCAACTTAATCTTATATATACATTTAGTCTAACTCCATGTAAGTTGGGATCACTATAGTTTTAGGCCTTATCGTTAGCCATAGGCTTTAAAGTATTTGTATCAGAATGTTCAACTCATGCAAGTATAAGAATTAAGAAATGAAAAGAGATATAGTCTGATTTTTATTTAAAAAAGGTTAAAACGTCAAAGATCTCACGTACTATCCCTAATAGAAAAACATCCAATAAACCAGGCCATCAAGTTTCCATTTGTTATTCTTTATTATTTCTTTTAATTACTTCTCGAATTTCAGTTTCACTAATTTGATGGAAATGGTTTATGTGAAATGCAATAGAAAAAATTAAGGAAAGAAAGTGAGATGGGAAACCTGGTTTTCCCATGGAGTAGCCAAAAGGAAATTGGCATTGGAACTAACAAAGACTGGAAATAGTGTGCTGATATGTGGCCTAGGATTGCAACTTTGCAAGTGCTGCTAATGCTATTGTTTAAGTTGGATTTCTAGTATTTATAAGAATTTTGTCTCTGTTATTTGATGTTGTCCCTGGCTTTGTTTTAAGTCGAAATTTTTTAGAAGTTACAGAGGATAGCTTATAAGTTCTTAATTTCTCAAATTAGATGTCGTCCCAAATTTGACTTTGTGATCTTGAAAATCTGAAACAATGATGGGTAATCAGCTTTTGATTGGCTTTATGCAGGTTGAATTCTACTGCTTATGATGTTTTTAGGTTGCCTTTAGTGATGAATTAATAAAATAGTGTAATTTTGGAGTAGAAATTAAAGTTAAAAAATTATAAATTCAGTTCTTTACAACTCCAAATACACAGCTCAAAAAATAAAGGATTAAAGGCACTTCCGCCTCATGCTATTTGGGCAAGTTTTGGCTCTTTTTTTTTTTTTTTTTTTCGATTTCACTCTTATAATATAGTTTGGCATCCTCATTGTACAAATTATATGATGTGGCAGGGGACAAAAGCAGAATTCGCCTGAAACTAGAGGGGCAAAAGCGGAACTCGCCCAAATGGCAGGGGGCAATATTAGGCTCATAGGGGGGTTAAACAAAATAGTATTATATTACAAGAGTGAAATAGGAAAAAAAAATTTACAGGGGAAAAAAATCAAAACTCGCCCAAATGGAAGGGGACAAAAGTACCTTCAACCCAAAATTTTTTTTAAAAAAAAAAGTCAGTTCGTAAAAGGTTAACAGTTCACTTTTGCAAAGAAAAAATGTTCAGTTCGAATATGCAGAACCGGTTCACCTACACCATTTTGGTTCAGTTCGGGTCAAAGTATTAATGGTTCAGTTTTTCCAAACTACTGTCATTGTTCGGCTCAGTAGTCTTCCTAAACCAAACCATGAACAGTCCCAATACCCTCTATCTTTTCTGTTTCAAGAATTCCAACAATACGCATTTACCCCATAATCAAATGTTAGTGCACATACCATAAATCTGTTACTATGAAACCCTAAATCTCAACAAGGAATATTCTAACATTAAAATAAGAAAAACAATACTTCATTTAGAAAATACTTATATAAGTAAATGAGTAGAAAGTTGCCATCAGAATTCTGTATTAAAAATATCTATGGTTTTAAAAACTATTTATATTTCAGTCTTTTCATTAGCCCAGTTATTGCAATGATCCCAATTGTGTCATGTTCAATCTTCCCTAATTTTTTTATAGGACAACTCTATTTCATAGTTCCGACATTCTCTACTTTTAATTTTAAAGCATGAAAGCCTCAAAACAATCATGAGATAATTCTTAATGATAAATAATGATAATGCAAAATTAAAATCCACCCAGGAGGAAACTGGGCAAACCTGTAGCCAGTTCACGTGGGCAAACCTGTAGCCAGTTCACGGGGGCAGAGTCTTCCGTGAGCACAAGCTGTAAGGGCAGCATCAAGAACAAATGGAGTTGCTTCAAGGATATCCCATGCTGGAACTTTGAGTTTCATTAAAGAGTCATCCAATGATGAACCTGATGAGTTGCTGCTTCCTGAAGTTGTAGATGTCAATGATTGAGGACTTTTATTTATTTTCCTGCACATCATACTTAGAAGCGCATCAACAATCTGAAGAGTAGGCCCTCCAGGAACAAGAGCACGTCGAGTTGATGCAAGACATTCTTGATGTTGCTGATACCAAGTGTTTAATTTTGGAAAGAAATCCATAAATACAGGCTCTGGAGAAAAACTTATCATTTTTGAAAATCTTCTGCTTCTTATTCTATCTCTTGGTGATTTCCCAAAGGATGCTAACGTACTATTCCGAACCAATAAAAGGAACTCAGGACCTAACTGTGATCCTAATGCTGGAGTTGCTGCACCTCCCATCACATGTTCAACAGGTGGATGATTAAACTGCCATAATCTCAGCAGGAGAATAAATGCACTAGAGAACACTGCATGGCAAGAGAGCTTTTCACCAGTTGCAGCAGTCCATGACTCACTAGGAACACATGATCCAAAAGCCTCACATATTGGCATTAATGCAGCAGCAAGTAGTGGAACCTGAAAAAAGACGGTATAGTGAATTCACAGAAATAGGAAACAAACTAAATGCAGAAATAGCGAAGTGGGTTGAAGATGCAAACTTTCATTGTGCAGGTACTAGTATGCGTTAGAATACACAGATTATTAAATTTGAACATACCGCACCGTGTAGGGAGAAAATCTGAACACTGTCTACAGATGAAATTCCAACCAGAAGGACATTCAAAAATGGAGCATAGCTAATCAAGTGGTTTTCAGTCCCAGAGTAGTTAGGAGAAGCTGGAGGAGAAAGCAATTTTATGATGAAAAAAACGACGTGTTCCTGCAAACAGAGATAGCCATTATAATCATGAAAAAATAATAGTAAACAATAGCAAAAAGAGGATAGAGACAATAATGAGCCAGACAAGGTTTTCATATAATGAGACAGTCTAATGGTGTTGTTGGTGTTGAGATCACCTGCACATTCCACCCACGAACTAGAGATGCCCCACAAAGAATGCTAGCCGCGGATACTTTTTCTTCATCTGAGCCATTGATTGCGAAGTCAAAAATTTTCTCAATCTCTGCTAAGCTTCCATCAAATTCAAAAGCTTAAAATTCAGTTGCATTACCACTAATATAAAAAATAGAGCATTGATACAGCTGATTCTGGAAAAAGAAAGGGGACGCTAAAGCCAGATATTAGGAAAAACTATTCTCAATTAGACAGCTGCCATTTTCAGACACAAACATCTTCATCCATGCATGTGTAGTGTCTATGTCTATTTAAAATTTATAAATCCATCTCTATTTTGGCTAAGAAACAAGTAACTTCTCTTCATTTCCAGATGAAACAAGTCACTTTATCCCAGATTAATAGGAGGAAGTAATAAAGCCCATAGACCTAGTACCAGTACTACCCTTCCCAGGCTGTCACAAGACAAAGGTACTATGCACGACCTTTTTAATAATGGTTATGTATATTAGCTATGTTACCTAAATACAAATTCTATATAACGTATTTTACCTACCTACCTACCACATTAACTTATCCTTGTCTTAAATAGCAGCACTGAGTATATTTTGAAGATTAAATTTTTTTTCCTAAAACATATTTATTGAAGAAAAAAGAGACAGAAGTAATATTATCAGGAATGCTCCTCATAGCAACTAAAAAAGGAAACAGGAGAACACAAGCATCAGCTTAAAAGAGCCTCCAATTCCACTGAATAACCAAAAAAACTATTTTGGAAACATAAAAGAGACATGCATATGTTCATAAAACCACAATGAAATAAGGAAAAGATTCAAGCCAAAAAAAGACTTTCATTCTTGAATTAATTATAGAAGGCTCCATGCAAGAATGGCCCAATACCTAAAGCACAGAACTGGACAAAAGGGTAGTGCAGCCATGGACACTAGACAAGAAACATCAAATTTTTCTTTTAAGAATAATACACATGCCAACATGGTGTGGCTAATATATATTGATGTAGGATGGTTACTGTAGAAGAAATTAGCAGATGCTGAGACATATCTATAGATCAATTAGGGAGCAAGAGAGGGTAAAAGACAATAGAAAGGAGAGTGATCTTCAGGTCTGAATGAACTAAGAGTGATAAGGAATTCCATCAAAAAAACGAATCTAGATTACCAGCTACAGCCTTGAAACATTTACTTCACACATGAGAGAAATTATGAGAAAACAGTTAAATATCAAATTAGAAATCCTATTAAAAAAAGTATAGTTTTGATTGTTCAAAGTAACAGTAGTAAAAGGATACACAGTCCTACAATAAAAATCCCAAAATACTCACAAGTCATGATACTGATGAACTAAGAGCGGTCTAACAGAGCAGAGTGAATGGCAGCAACCAAAGGGTATTATTATGAACTAGAAATTTGGAATGTCCAAAGTTACACCAAAGGTTTCTCATAGAGTTTGTAATGCAATTTAATCGATTTAAAACATTTAAGTAAAAAATGGAATGGAAAAGATACATAGAAAAACTAGGCAAGGTAGCGGTCAATAAGGTAGGGATCATCAAAACACCAAACCATCCAATGTAAAGACGGTTTTCAGTGCTGGTTATCCAGTTACAGAAGCGACCCCATAGGTTTTCGCTATCGCGTCTCTCTAAAATTGCAGTCATGGTAAAATCTTGGGTTTATTGAAATTGAATTATCAAGGACTCCCAAAAGCACACGAATTCTCTATAACTATAGACTGAAGGGCTTTCATGATTCTATTTTTTTTTTTAAAGTTAATTAAGAAAGTTGTATTTGGTGAATTCAATTCCCGCTTTCATTCCTTCACTATCTATTTCGACATAAACAATAAGAGGACTCTAGGAAAAGACAAATTATCCATCCTAGAATCCTGTTTTCCCTTTGTCTATTTCTACTTTACTTAATATTCTGTACCTACCTATTTTTTTAGGTTTAGTATCGAGTTAATTCTAAAACAATAGAAATTAGAGGATTTCTAGAACATTAAAATCCGAAAACAGCTACATAATCATATGGTTCGAATTAATTGTGCAGTTGGAAAAAAAAAAAACCAAGAACCAAATAGTCTTCTTCACAATATACATACTATGACTGAATTAATTCTACGGTACAAGGAATTTTCTAAATATAGTATATCTACAAAAACTAGAAAGAACCAAGGGTGTTTACAGAATTTATCAACAAACTAGGCAAGGTACATAGAAAAGATACATAGAAAAACTAGGCAAGGTAATGAGGCAGCAGCATGTGGCATATGTGGCATATTAGGGAAGCAGTGATATATGAGGCAGCAGCATACCTGGAAGCAGGAGTTACACTTAAGACATTAACCATTGGAGGAGTAAGCGGTGAACCCTTCATCAATGATGACCAGCTGGGCAAATGGTTAGGAATACTATGAGGTAGTTGATTGTAAGGTGCACTTACATAACCAGGCCAAAAATAAGCTGAGGTATCAATCAGATGTCTTGCAATACAAGCCTCAATAATCAGGTGCCATAGGTTACCAGCTGCAATGAATCATAGAAGAGGTATAATTAGGAACCCAAGACTAATATGAAAAGCCCTTAAGAGACCACCAAATCTGAGAGCAAATCAACAGAAGAAAACAGAAAACTAGATCAATGACAAAAAAAGATTAAATCTAATCGAACCAGACTAAATTGATATGATAAACAATTCATGACTAAAATTATGATGGCCAAGATAATGATAGATAAAAGGGTCAGGTTGTCTTCCCCCAGAAAATTCATTTAGGAACAATTATCATGATAAATGAATGCATACATATATTTAAATTTTAGCCCCCCAACATTTTAATTGCATTCTTTTTGTAGCTGAAGATATCACCCACAAGAAAAAGGATATGTGATCAAGTGATAATAATGCTCGGACTTCCTTCTGTAACTGACACTTAAAGATTCACAAAAGCAAACACTTACAGCAGTTTGTGGGCAAGTCATTCACATTCACATGTTCCAAGTATCCACTATGTCCCGATACAAACATGATAGCCTTGGCAGCGGCCTGATTAGCTACCCAAGTAACAGGTTGAGGTGGATTGAGTAAATCTTCATAATCACCCAATAACTGTAAGCTTGTAACCAATTCCCCGCGACGCTTTCCAGTAGCTGGCTTGTTCTTCCTTTGATTCATAGGGCTACGCTCAGCTTCTTCAATTAGTTCACCTTCCTCTTCTTCAATAAGATTCGCAACTACAAGGGTCGTAATGCACAATAGCATACACAAGCAGGTATCAAGGCGAGGTACAGGACCCTCACATGGATCCCTCTCCTAAAAGAAGCGGAAAATAAATATGTTAAGCCTCAAAACAAGCAAATAGAGTCAATAGCATGCAAGCTTACAGTATCCCTGACTTAAATTTAGTAAAGGATCAGTAGATCTGATAACAAAAACAAAGAATGTAAATGACACTACATTTTCTTTCATTTTAATGGCTGAAAATCCGCATTTTACCATATCTTACAAATTTGTAAGCTCATCAATGATCAGTTTCTCACGCATAAATGAGCAACCAATCAGAAAATATTTCAGTTATAATCAATTGCCTGATATCAGTTATTTCTTACCCGTTGAACCAGTCGTAGTGCAGCAATCCATAAACCTAAAAATGCATTGTGCCATGCAGTACCATTAACTGCTTGTAAAGCCTTCACCAACCCTACAAGCAATCAATGAAAAAGGAAAGAAAAATGGTTAGATATAGTTAAGCAGTATTAGTATTAGAGTAAGAAATTAAAGTTGCAAATGGGAGAAATTAAAAGCATAGATAGAGTTAAGTAGTACTAGTATAATATTATTACTTATAGGCTCGTTTAGCCATCTTATAGCATGTTTGGATTGGCTTTTGGAAGACCCAGAATCAATTCTAGAAATGTAGAATTCATTCTGGGTGATTTTGAGGTGTTTGTTTTATCAAAAGTAGAATTGATTCTACTTAAAGCTAGAATTTGTAGCTTCTATCTCCGGAATTGATTTTGGGTGATTTTTACACTGAAATTTATTGTTTAACTCACTTTTACATAAATGTATCCAAACATAAACCAGTTCTGCTAAACTCAATTATATTAAAATCAATTCTACCAAATTCAATTATGCTACAATCAATTTTGTTCACCGCCAATCCAAACACACCCTTAGTTGGTAGCTCTGAAGGGACATCAGATATTATTACATAGAGTCGTTAGAAGTTAGTATTAATTGCAAATGAAGGGGGAGAGAGTAACCAGTAAAAAGTTCAACAGCACTGGCAGCCATGACATGATGACCATCCATTGCATCCTCCAGTATTAAATCAATGGGAAGCCAAAGTGAACTATCATTGTGAGATTGGACCGCACTAGCACTAGCAGTTGCAGCCAATACTGAACTCAGCTTCATCTTCTTCTTCGGTTCACTAGACAAAGGCCAGTTTGATTTTAAATTCAAAGGGAAAAACAACTCTGGAGATAAATTTTTCAACGTCCTCAATATCATCGAGTTCCCCGCGAGTTGCTCTAGCTCATCAACGAATGCTCCCCAGTGTGTTGGCCTGCAAATTAGAAATTAGTACTTAATAAAAATGAAATTGAAAGAAACTATGAAGCAGCACATCCTGAACACGACACTGACACAGCGGCCGGTAATAAAAATGAAATTAAGAAATTAAGAAATGAAAAGAGGTTGGTTAGTTAGTAATAGTACATGTTTCTTTGAACTAAGGAGAGAATTCTTGAAGTGAGTTTGTTATGAAGAAAGCATGCAATGAATTGAATGGCGGTTGTTGTATTTTTGGCGTGCAAGGCGTGTTTATGGGGATGAGTATCCAATTCCATAGTGAGATCATGATCGGGAACGGGATCGGGATCGACGAATAATAAGGACTTGTGTTGGAGTAAGCCTTCGTCTTGTAAGGAAGCTTGGAGTAACTGCCACACAAGAGTGAAAAGAAACTGAACAAGAACAACGCCAGGGTGAGGGTTATGGTGAGGGTGATGAGAATCATCATAGAGTTGGGAAAGGCGAAGAACGTGGTGAATAGAGTTCATGAGAGAGGGGTAGTTAGGGGAATTGACAAGAGAAGAGAGAGAGAAAACGTGTTTGTTAAGGAGATGAAGATACAGAGAGTAGGCTGCGGGGTGGAGGAGAGGGTGTCTGTTTGGGACAACTTTGGTGGAGAGGAGAACCACAACCAGCAAAGGAGGAACCATGCGAACTTCCATGGCTTTCTCCAGATACTTCCATGTGATCGGCACGTGATTGTCCCAACATATGTGAGATACCAGACGGTTTGCTAGCTCCGCCGACGGTAGCGACACACCCGCCGTGTTCAGCGATGAGGTCACCTGGATTGACCATACGACAGGCTCCGTCTTCTTCTCCTGTGCACGTTTTGTTAGCTCTATTAGCCTCTCCCACACCATCATATTTCTGCGACTTGCCTATTCTGCACGCTCTGTTTCTCTTTTTATTTTTTGACTCTAACTATGACGAAACTGACTTTTCCCCTCTCTATCATGCCTTCTGTCACTTTCACTGTGCTGCTCCAACTTTGAAATTTTTTATTTATCTCATCATCATTTTTATTATATCATTGTTTTAGATGTTTTTGGAGACAAAGACTCTCTTGGATTAACATAAAATGTGATTACAATGAAAATTCACTTGTATTAACATGAAGTTTAATCACTAATGTTATTCATTTCATCCCTATCTTTTTAAATTTATATGTTGGTTGTTTGACAGAAAATAAAGAATGACGATTAAAAATCTATAAGAAGATCACAACTCTTATATTTTTTTCTATTTTCTCTCTAATCATTCAATTTCATCATTGATTTTGCAATCCAATAGAAACGTACTTAAAATATTATATGTTTGTGTCTATTGTATTCTTTATTTTTTTTAATTATATACCATCAATTTATTTATTTATTTTTTATTTAATTCTATTTGTTGTTTTGTAAAGATGGTAAATTTATAGTGAGATTAATATTTGTTTCTCTGATATGATTAATTAATGCTATTCTTTGCTATAGATTTTTATTTTATTTTTTTTCATACTTTTCCTTTTGTCCTTCAAGTTGATATTATATAGTTTTAAATGTATAATTTATATGCGCTGTGTAAAAAAATGTATAATTTATATATTGTTAATTTGTCATTTTTTAACTATAAGAGGATAGATTTAGATTGATAAATCTTCTTAGTTCTTATACATGTTCACATTCTAATTAATCTTTAGGGTATTTTTTAACATTTAAATTGAATCTTAAATAGTTTTTAAAATAAAATAATTGTTTTTTCTTCTTTTCACTCTATTTTAATTGTGCATCTATATTTGAGTTTAATAATACTAAAGCTTTTGATTTAATATCAATTTTTTTCTTTGCTCAAATACTTTTGTGACAATTGGATTCAAGCAATGTCAGTCACTACCGAACTTAGAAAGATTGGTGACAACCAAATCCAAGATATCAATAACAATTGGATTTTAAAAATGTCATGCTAGTAACTACTAGACTTCAAATGGGGGAATCGGTAACAAACGAACCGAATACCAATAATCATTGGATTTCAAACAATGCAAGTAACCACTGGACTTAGAATGATTGGTAACAACCAAATCAAAGTACCAATAATAATTGGATTTAAACAATGGCAGTAACCACTGAACTTTCTAAGATTGGTAACAACCAAGTCAAAGGTACCAATAACAATTGGATTTTTAAGCAATGCCAGTAACCACTGGGCTTTGGAATGATTGGTAACAACCAAGTCAAAGGTACCAATAACAATTGGATGTTTATGCAATGCCAGTAACACCTGGGCTTTGGAATGATTGGTAACAACCAAGTCAAAGGTACCAATAACAATTGGATTTTTATGCAATGCCAGTAACCACTGGGCTTTGGAATGATTGCTAACAACCAAGTCAAAGGTACCAATGACAATTGGATTTAAACAATGCCAGTAACCACTGGGCTTTGGAATGATTGGTAATAACCAAGTCAAAGGTACCAATGACAATTTGATTTAAACAATGCCAGTAACCACTGGGCTTTCAAGGATTGGTGACAGTCAACTCAAAGTACCAATAACAATTGGATTTTTCAACAATGTCAGTAACCACTAGACTTTTAAAAGATTGGTAACAACCAAATCAAAATACCAATAACAATTGGATTTAAGCAATGCCAGTAAACACTGGAGTTACACATAGGAATGGGTGACAACCGAACCAAAAATACCAATAACAATTGGACTTCGACCAATGCTAGTAACCACTAGACTTCATATGACTGGTAACAACCAAATCAAAGGTACCAATAATAATTGGATTTTAAGTAATGCCAGTAACCACTGGACTTATAAAGATTGGTGGCGACCAAATCAAGGTACCAATAACAATTGTATTTTTAAGCAATCACGCTAGTAACCACTGGACTTTTGTGGGGATTGATAACAACCAAAAACTTATAATACCAGTAACCACTGGATCTTCAAACAAAACCAGGCAACCACCTGACCTTCAAATAGGAAGTACAGATATATCCCTCAAAACCTTAGGAACAAAAGCTAATATCCTCAAAGCATTAGGATATAGCAGAGACACAACCCTCAACATATTAGGATTGGATGAAAACCCTCAAAACCTTAGGATCAAAAACTAATATCCTCAAAACATTAGGATATAGTAGAGACACAACCCTCGATACATTAGGATTGGACAAAGACCCTCAAAACATTAGGATCGAAAACTAATATCCTCAAAACATTAGGATATAGTTAGAGACACAACCCTCAATACATTAGGATTGGACAAAGACCCTTAAAACATTAGGATCAAAAACTAATATCCTCAAAACATTAGGATATAGTAAGAGACACAACCCTCAATATATTAGGATTGGACAAAGACCCTCAAAACATTAGGATAGAAAACTAATATCCTCAAAACATTAGGATATAGTTAGAGACACTATGCCAAAAAAGACCTTTAGCAGCGCTTTAAAGCGCTGCCAAAAGTGGCGTTGCTAAAGGTAAAGGCAGCGCTTTTTTTCATGGAAAAAGCGTTGCTAAAGGCTCCCTTCAGCAGCACCTTTAGCAGCGCTTTTTTAGCCCTTTAACAGCGCTTTTATAAGCGCTGCATATTTCCCCAACCATCCCCCCTTTAGCAGCGCTTTCACAAAGCGCTGTCTTAGAGCCCACCTTTAGCAGCGCTTTTACAAAGCGCTGCCATAGCCCCCTCCCCCCCCCCCCCCCTTTAGCAGCGCTTTTTACAAGCGCTGTCTTAGACCCCCCTCCCCCTTCCAAACCTATAGCAGCGCTTTTGTAGCGTAATGTTTGTGACCTTTAGCAGCGCTTTTTTGTAAAAGCGCTGTCTAATGTCCCAGATTTTAAATTTTTTTTTTAAATATTCACCTTGTTTTGTATATTTACCAACAACCTGCTTATATTACACAAACCTGCTTATAATTCAGGTCTTTATTTCAACACTTTGGCCTTATATATACAATTCAAAACTTTGGATACATTGTAACTCATCACTTTGTTCATAAAAATTTTAATATACACATAAACCTGTTTAAATATGTTACAACAAAATTCGATCCTCAGAATTACAACAACACAAATACATTCAATTTACATATAATTACAATTCTTCCAATCCGATAACACTATACAATTCTCAACCCAAGAATAAATTGACACCATTCCTCTTTAATTTCTTCCAATTTTGCTTTCGTGTAAGTAGCGCACTTGAATTCATCAAAATACTACATAATATAACAGATCGAATAAGATTTAATTTTAAAACTAATTACTCAGATGAAGTATCGGATAATTATCAAAATGAATCATATAACTTATATAATGAATTGATCCATACCATGACTGGAATCTCAAGTTGACCAGAAAGAATAATTTCCCTCATAAAGCGCAATACAAAATATCCACAGTCAATACCATTGCGCTGCCGAGGACACTGTAACAGACGAACATTTATCAGGATATATAGTTTAAATAATTTTATCAGGATATATAGTTTAAATAGTTTTATCAAGTAGAACTACTATAACAGTCAAACATGCGAAAATATACCTCCACTCTGATCCAGTTGATGTTGTTAGCCTTGCTTTTTGGCACCGTTGCATCTCTTTGTGCTCTGAATATTTGTATAACTCTAACATAATATAAACGCATATTTAGAACAATGTCACATAATAAATAAAGATATATAATTAAAGACAACAATATATCTCATCACTTACGTATCAACAAAGTTCCTCAGATTTTCATATTTTGTTGTATCGCCATCCAATGAATCTATATAATACACTATTTCTTTCGTCGGATTAATTGCGATCAACAACCAATGTCCACTATAAAATAAGACAACAGTTTAGACGGAAATGTTATATAGAAAGGGAAAAATCGAACAATTATAATAAATGAATTTAGAATAAAATCTAACCCATGGCCAGTATTATATGGCAACAAGAACAACTTCTCCGTAGTCGCGCGCATAAATCTTTGCACTGTGTACTCTTTGACTGTATCTGGTGTCTGGTCTATTATATGTGAGTTGACACAGCTAGCAGATAAGAATGCGAATACTGAAGTCAATTCATTCGGGACCAATAACTTGTCATACAAGAACCTAAAAAAACATAATCAACATTAGAATATTCAGCTAAACGAGAAAATTTTAAAATGTTCAATTATTTAATTAAAATGGATCGAAGTACCTGATGTATGAACGCATAACACCGACGCCCAATTCAGAATGGTTGAAAACCTGATCAAAATCCTCAGCAATTGTTTCGGGATATTCAAAACCAAAAATACCTACCTCCATGTGTATTTGACGGATGCCACCCTCAGGCACATCTGATGTTCCGACATATGTTTCAAGGCACATCCTAAATCGAGGAACAATTGCTTTTCTGGGAACCTTGGAAGTTTCAGGCATCTTACCTTTGCTGACTTGTTGCGACTGTTGATCATGAACCTAAAAGTCATATATAAGTTCAGTAATTAATGTATAACAAGATAGTCATGTAAATGTAGTAGTACCTGTTTCTTTGATGCAGCTGAATCGGTATCCCGCACAATAATTCTACCATCTTTTGATTTGGATTTTGTAGGAGTCTAAGATCATCATGTAAATAAGAAAATGTAGATGTAAGAATAACTTTCATGTATGGATCATAAAACATTTGAGTATTAAAAGGTTCAACCTACCTCATCATCTATGCAAATCAGATTTGTCGGCCATGCCACATACGCTCCTATTACGTCTCCCACCACTGTTGCGCCTGAAATATCATCTGGTATAGGCAACAACGCACTCCCCTCTAATGCAATATCAATAGATACTTTCAAAAATCCAGAAGGGAGCGGTTTATGGTGAAGTAAGTCT